TGGACTCTGCATGCCAGAAAATAGAGGAAGGGAACAGCTTGAATCCACACTCCTAGTACTGAGCTGTGCGGAGTGGAAGAAGGAAGGGAGGTGTGTGAAATGAGGCTTTGCTTGCCAGGCATGCTGTCCCAGGACCCATGTTTATAAATACTGAATCTGCTTGGGACTTTTTTTATTATTTTAGTAGAGGGTCTGCAGGGTCTCACTACACAGATAGGACTCGTAGTGACCCTCCTGTTTTTCAGTCTCCCAGGCACTGGGATTAGAGGCATATGCCACTATGCCCAGTCTCAGTAGCTATCTCAGAGCACCCTGAAGGCAGAGCAGGTACAGTATGCCAGGGAGTGAACCCTGGTCCCTGCATCTGCCTAAGCAGGCACTTTATTCTGCTGAGCTATCGGGCCAGTCCCTTGGGACTTTTTTTGTTTGCATGCTACACAAAAATACAAAAGATAACTATACCGTAATCTTGAAGTATGTATTATGCACATATCTCTTGAATATAGAAGACCTTCAATAAGTTAATGAAGACTATAGTTTAAATAAATATATTTGTTCATTTGTGTTTAAACAGATAAATATGATCAACCAGAATGCCATGATCTCAGTTTAACTGCATATACTCTGTCATTTGAAATGAGGCTTCTATTGAGTAATTACTTGATGAGGGGTTTTACACATTTTGTCTTAAGAGTGCTAGCATCTGTTCATGTTAAACAAAAAGCTCATGGACATAGCAGAAGAATGAAAGGGACCTTGTAAGTATCCATCCCAACACAATCTGCAACATTTGAGTGTCACTGGAGTGTAGTAGTGATTTGACTTTGAATGTTGTACAATATATCAAGGGATCACAATAGTCCTGTTTGAGTTTAAATTTTGAAACAGATTTTGAAGATTCAGTCAACTCTCCATTATCCAAACTAATACATTAATGGCTAGTAGCAGTGCTACAAATCTGAAAGGCTAAACTAATTACAAAATCACTTATACTTGGTTTTGGGCTATTTTTTTTTTACTTTAATGTATTTTCTTAAATTTATGATGATGATTTTTCACATTTTAGAGTACCTGAAAATGAGATAAGTATAATGATCAACTGGCAACATTTTAAAACTCTTTATGATGTTTTATATTAGATGAAATATGAATATGCCCAAATAGAAATAGTGAGATTTAAAAAAATTCTTTTTATAAACGGGGTTTCTCAAAGGCTTTAAAAAATTACCAGTTGAACTGATTCCCCATCTTGATGAGTGCACATATTCTTCATTGCTGATATCTCAGATCTTACATTCCATCTCTGCACATCTATAGCTTTTTGTTGTATTTTTCTTAGGGTGCATACCACATCCGACACTCATTTGCATATACTTGTCTCTTTCCTTGCAGGTACATGTCCTTTATAGAATTTTAATTGTTTTTGTTCTCATAACTAGCAGCAACCATCATGGCAGAATATGAGTTCTTGGTATATACCAGGTATTTCACAGGCACAAGAAAATTATTCAGCCATATTCCCTGAAAACTTTGTATGTGAGAAAATACTAGTTATGATAAATTATGTGCGCCTTTATATCTATAAATACCCCATTCAAGAGAATATAGATGAACAAAGATCTACCTTGGGAAACTGACAAAGGTGACACTGGAATTGGATCTCAAGGATTAAACAGAAAGTTAGAATGCAGAATCTCCAGAATATTTTAAGAGGAAACATTAGCACAGGCAGAGAACAGCAGGAAGAAAGAGCAAAGCAAGTTCATTAAGCAAGAGGTAGACCATAAATATAACATAAAACTGGCAGCAGGGAGGTCGGGAAAATGAAGATAGGATTAGATGTAAGCTTGGCTCATATATGAAGGTCATTACATGTTATTCTAAGGAGATTTTATTTTATTCTATAGGCAATGATGAGCTACGAAGCTTTCAGAAAGACTGTTATTTAGTACTGTTTCCTGGAATATGACAGATGGGTTAAGATAACTGGGTATTAGACACTGTATGTTAGAGCAAACTCAACATCCATTCCTAACCTCTTACCCACTGCCTTTATAACACAGGGTAAAATAATTTTTCCCATTTTCCTTGAACTAATTATGAGACTATATGTTATGGTTTACATATACATAGAAGTCTTCTGAGGAGGTTCTAAGGAAGCATTTAACTTTTTAATGAAAAGAAATTAAAAGCATCATTTTCACATTTTGGCCTACCTCTTCCTAGTTTGAATGTGGATGTGCTCCCCACCATGTAAAGTAGTCATCTTGTGACGTGAAGTGACAAACTTGGATGCCATTGACATCAGAAAATTCAATGGCATTGATGATTTACTGTACCAACTCTGTACTACCTAATACCAAAGCTCTAGGTATTTAAGCTATTGTGAACTTGTTTCTTTGCAAGTAGAATGCATTGTGGAGTAAGACTGATACCATTCAGTAAAATATTGAGATAACCCAAGTGACTATAAGATCTTGACACAGTACAAAGATAGAATTAGATGAGGCAGAATAGATTTGAAAAATAAGAAACAAAGCCAAAAAGTAGACACAATTTAGTTTTATGCATGACACTGAAATATCTATGGGATATTAGGTGCCTATAACTAATAATTTGAAAAATAAGTTTGCAGCACTAAAGAAATATAGAAGCTGGAAATATGAATAATGACATATGGTGACTAAAGCCAGTGAAGTTGGTTGAATGAAAATGAGACAGTATATACAATGTAAAGCAGATCACAAGTGATCCAAGCTGAACAGGTTCAGCTTTTAAGGGATTCAGAGAAACCAAAAGGGGAAAAAAAGCAAAAGAAGGGATAACAGAAAGCAAGGGAAGGAAAGAGTCTGAAGGAGGCACAGATGACTAGTCAATAGCTACATAAAGATTCAAGTAGATATCATGCCAGGTTGTTAGAAGTTAAACAAAACTGAAGGACAGGAACATTACTTCTGAAAATCACAGGAGGAACTTCAAGAAGGAAGCCAGATTGAGGGAAGACAAAGAATTTTCACCTTGACTATCTCTGTATGCTAACATCTGTAATCTAACTAACCACATCAAAGATCGCATTGTGTAATACAAAAACCATGCTTGAGTACGTCTCATTTTGGTCCTCTAAATGTGTACAATTTCTAATGTCTTATCAATTCTTATTGTGTTCTCTTTAAAATAATTTTTTAAAAAGTAAAACAAAAGTGAAGAAAAAAATTAAGTTTTCTTGAAAGTGGTAATATTCAATTATTTGTCCAATCTTGCACAACTATATCTTTTAATCTGAGCAACATATTTGGCAATAAAATTAGGTACTATTATAACTATTGTTAATTAGCTACTCCTGTTTTGAAAATCTGTACCCATGTATTGTATGTTATTGTTTGTCTTTGTTTATAGTCTTCAAAATAAAACATGAAATTTAAAATAAAAAAATAAAGTTATGTTAAGGATTAAAGATAATCTAAAAAAGTTAAGGAAAGGTTTTATCTTGTTATTGTTGCTTTTGTACAGAGAGGAGCTTCATCTTTTTAGAGGTAAGGGAAACAAGTGAAAAGAGAAAGATGAGATTAAGCAGGATGGAAGATGACTCGAAAAAAGATGGAAAGGAATATGATGAAGAAAATAAACAGAAAGATTAACCTTATGAAAGGGGAATGCATGGCTGAAAAGAGGTAAGTCTAGAAGACAGATAGCAAGTTGTTGTACGTGGTCATTGTCATAGTAAGGGTTTACAAAAGATTTAATACTGGGCATATAATTTATAGAATTATTTTATAATATTCACTCAGAGTCAAATGCAAAAGAGTGTGGACAAACTTTCTGCACACTAGCAACCCAAAGAATCCTGCTGAGGGCCTGTATCCCAAAGCAATGTTCTGCATGAGTCTAGCTGAAGACCTAGAGCCATGGCAATATCCTCCCACGAGCCCAACTATAGGGTAGAGCCACAATGTCTCATGCAAGTCTGTATCAAGGATCTGCACTGTGAAGGCCCAATGGTTGGAAGCTAGAAAGTTTGAGCCAGTGGTATAAAGGATCTGTGCCAGCAGGCTAAACGATCCACACTGAAGCCAGGAAAAGATGCATAAGGTAAAAACCAGAGTTCCCCTGAAAACAACTGTAACCATTCTCAGTGGTAGCAAGGATCCAAGCTACTGTCACGACGAGAATAGATGAATTTGTATCAGGAAAACCAGCATGCAAAACATCTCCAGGACAATCAACAGCACACCAACTTCCCTTTCACACTTCTCTTTTTATGTTGTTGGTAACAATCTTCAAGTGGGGCTTTCATAACCAGAACCATGCTAATTCAGTTCAGTTGGGTGTTACAAGTTGATTGTTCATTAATCCACCACAACCATATCTGATAATTTTACTGGGTGAAATAGCAAGTAATATCAATTTTGATAAGTGTGAGACATGAGAATACATGGTTCCTAAACCTACTCTGGGGACTAGCATAGTAAACCACCCAGGCCCCAGTAGAAGAATGGCTGATTAGCATTAGGAGCACATGCCACATACTGTAAGTCCTCTTAAATAGAGATTTTTGTACAGGTATTTAAGAGTTAACATTAATAAAACAAAAAGACAAAGTCATAATATGTGAATAGTTTATTCCAGCTCTGAGAAATGGGGGAAAAACGAACATATCTTTCCACACACTATTCTAAGTTATTTTATTTTATTTTACTTTTTTGTATCAAGGATTGAACTCAGGACCTTGCACTTGCCAGGCAGGTGCTCATTGATACTGAGCTATCTCCCCAGCCCCCAAACACTATTCTAACTGTTATTAATTTTGAAAATTTAAAGTACATAAAA